GATTCTTACAAACATGCAAACTGGTAACTCCCATTAACGAAACAGTCTGGGAGCCAAAATGATTTCTACTTCCTGTGTGGGCAGCGTGGGATTTTCCCAGGAGAAAAAAACAACGTGGCGCCGCGCAGTCGAATAAATGGTTACCCTGAAAAACGGCAGCACGACACTCAGCTGCAGCTGGGCTTCGACCACAGAGCGTGTGGAGACTTCCTCCTGCTCTGTCGTCGTTTATTAATCAGCTCCGAACGCTGAAGCTGACGCCCTCGGGGTGACGCAGCACAACTCTTTGATTTCCTTATTTAAAAAGAAGAAAGAGCTTTTTGTCCCCTCCAGGAGAGGTTAAAGGTCAGAGAGCTTCATATTTGTTCTGTTCCTCTTTCATTACCTAACACAAAGTGTGCTGTTTGCTCAGGTCTGCCACGAACGAGCTTTTAATCTGAAGGGGCTTCCTGGTTGAATAAGTCATGAATGGTTTCCTGTGTGTATTCAGGACGTGTACCTGGAGATGTCCTACATGTACGACGACGACGGTTACCAGTCTTACTGCACCGTTTGCTGCGGCGGTCGAGAGGTTCTGCTCTGCGGCAACGTGAACTGCTGCAGGTCCGTCGGACAGGAACAGGAAACACCATCTCCACTCTTTGCCCCTCCCTCGGCTCACCTCCTCTCCGCCTGCTCCCTCCAGGTGTTTCTGCGTGGACTGTCTGGACATCCTGGTGGACCCGGGTGCGTCCGACCAGGCGCGCTATCTAGACCCGTGGCGATGCTACATGTGCCAGCCGCTGCTGCGGTACGGCGTCCTCAAACGACGGCACGACTGGAGCCTCAAGCTGCAGGAGTTCTTCGCCAACGATAACGGACAGGAGTTTGTGAGTTTCTTCTCAGATGTTTCGTGTCTTTATCTGATCTTGTAAAGCACACCTGATGAAATCACACGGGTAGCTCTGTGCCCCTCGTGTGCACGGCGGGAGCAGCAGGACGAACGCTGCGTTTGGTTTCTGAGCCGTCGGCTGAGCATCAGGTCTCATTTCTGTTGCTTTCTGTTTGCCTTTCAGGAGAAGCCAAAGATTTACCCAGCAGTCCCTGCAGAGCAGAGACGACCAATCAGAGTGCTGTCCCTGTTTGACGGCATTGCCACAGGTGAGGATGAAGGCGAGCTCAGGCTTAGGTTCAATAATAAACCATTGTTTTCCCCTCTGCAGATATTTAGGGTGTGTTTTGTTGAAATAAATAATCAGCCGCCTCTGCAGAGAGTCTCCCGTCCTGCAAACTGACTCCAAATCATCCAAGTTGTTCTGCAGCTGGTGGTCCTGCTTCTGGTCACCGTACCGGCTCACGGACAGATTCTCCACCTGCTGCATGTTCTGGTGAACCAGGACTGCCGTCACCAGCTGCAGTCCAACGTGGAGGTGGAGAACAGCGGTGGTCGACACACCAGCAACAGATCCTAACGGGCGCCGACTGCTGAGAGCAGTCAGTTTAGTGGTCGGGCTACATTCCCACCCGTGGTCAGGTGTGGTCACAGGTGAAGTTATGTGTTTCCTCTGAAGGATGACGGCTCAGAGAGACAGGCGAGGAGCTCAGAGCCGCTACTGTGTGTGTGTGTGTGTGTGTGTGTGTGTTCCTATGTAAAGATGAGCGTGTTTGTTTCCAGGCTACCTGGTCCTGAGAGATCTGGGATTTAAGGTGGGTCAGTATGTGGCATCGGAGGTGTGCGAGGACTCCATCTCAGTGGGCGTCGTCAGGCATGAAGGAAAGATCAAGTACGTCCACGATGTGAGGAACATCACCAAGAAAAATGTAAGCAGGACAACGAATTTCTGCTTTGTTGTATTTTCAGCCTGATGTTTGAGCTCAAACTGACTGAAATAAAACCAGTGAAACAGAGTCAGTCTGCTGCCCCCTGCTGGGCTGTGAAGCTGGTGCCAGTCAGCTACAAGAGGTTATTTACACAAATAAATAAAAACGTTATTTTCATCAGTTTACATCAAGTATTTGAAAAAAATCCAATATTGTGAAAAACATCTTTGATGGTCTGATCTGGAATCTTAAATCTGATCATCTGAGCATTAACATAAAGCTTTAGCTCTCTGTGGATTTACCTCAACAATTATAGTCAAATATGGCTGAAGTGAAACTTTCAGTAAGTAACCCAGAGTTTAATGTAATACCTTTATCACAAACACAGAGTCCGAACAGTTAAGCTCACTCCTCATACGGACACTCGGGCTGTGTCCCAGCTCAGGGTCTGCAGCCTTGGAGGACGCGGCCTTCGCGGTCTACGTGGGCCGCGTCCTCCGAAGACCGAGAAGGTTGGAAGTGCGAGGCTGTGAAATGGTCGGTCTAGTCTTTGTTGTGCTGTTGTTGCCTAGCAACCATGGGTCTAACTGCGAGACACGTTACATACGGCTTTGTGTGACAGAAATGAAGGAGAAAAATGTTTTGTTGGTCATTCATTTTTGTCATGACATCACTTTGATTAGTTGAGTATCTGAGGCTGAGACCACAGGACTGTAAACATGATTGTTGGGCTGAACAGTCATTTAAGATTAGCTAGTAAATAACAATCAGCTGATGTTGTTCATGAGACTAAAGTCATCTCACTGTGTAATGTAAATATAATACGGCCAATGTTATAGTTATTATATGTATCATGATTAGTTATTACAGCAGTGAACATGAACTCTGTGCCAAACACTGAGCTTCAGCAAAGATTCAAGTCGCAGTTATTTATGTTTCCTGTCACCTTAAATCTTCACTCACAGACGAGTATCTGTGACAGTGTGTATACAGATGTGTTATATATAAGAGACA